CAATACCATGATAAATGAAGACACCGTGCCAATAGAAAGAAACAGAGTGCTAGGTTATATTGCCCAGGAATCCACAATTATGATTCCACAATAAACTACTGGCAATGGTCAAGAGTTCCATTCCCTCCAGTCATTCAGTTCCCCACACAGACACATCTACTCTGCTTCAGATTCACTACCCTTGCCCCGGAAAAGAGCAGGCCACTGAAGGGCATTAATTGAACATGGCACAATATGATACTATGTGCCTGAGATGACCTACTCTGGGAATCAGAAGGCTGAATACCTTAACTGTCATCATAGAATCCTCATCCAGTGACTGATGGAAGCAGATGCAGAGATCCACGACTTGGTCCCAGGCAGAGCTCTAGGAGTCCAATTGACAAGAGAGAGGAGGGATTCTATGAGCAAGAGAAATCAAGACCATGATAGGAAAAACTACAGAGACAACTAGCCAAATGAATCCCCATGGGAGATATTGCTTTGGAGGAGGTGGGAATGGGGGGTAGATTGGGGGAAAGGCTGGGGAGTATGAGGAGGGAGGACAGGAGAATCTGTGACTGATATGTTGTATGAATGGAAAATGTCTTAATTAAAATAAATAAATAAATAAATAAATAAATAAATAAATAAATAAACAAATAATAAGAGATATATTAATAGCTGGAGGCCCTTACTTAGCACCTTCAGGACTAGAAGGGACCCTTATAACTCATTGCATATATGTTAAAAATCTTTCAAGAGTTGAAAAATTCTGTACAATACAGGATATTACACATGTTTCCAGATAACATTTTGTGTTCAGATTCTGGAGAAGTGTTTCTAAGCTAATCTGTCCCAGTCTGGGCTTTCAGTGAGGCTGGTGCCCTGAGCCCCTGCTTGGATAGCCCACAGTGGGACCCACTCCCCACTGAAATCCAGGCTTCCCACACCCTACTCACCCCCTTCCTGACTCTCTTCTGGTGCCTGAGTGTGAGGAGAAGGGAGAGGGTGAGGAGGAAGAACAGTAGGAAGTCAGCCACAGAAACACCCATCACAGTAGATATCTTTCCAGTGCTATGAGCCAGGGGACATCATGAATGAGGAATTGTGAATGATAATCTACTGTGTGAAAATGAAAAAACAATCAGAGTCTGCATGGAGCTGCACTGGGTCCCCTGCATATATATTATGGTTGTTGGTTTGGTGTTTGTGGTGATTTCTGACAGTAGTGATGAAGGTGTATCTGACACATTTGCCTGCCTTTAGGATGCTCTTCTTTCTATTGGGTGACCTCAACCAACCTTGATGTGACTGTCTATGTCTGATGTTATGGTATCATATTGTGCCATGTTCAATTGATGCCCCTCAGTGGCCTGCTCTTTTCTGGTGCAGGGGTAGTTAATCTGAAGCAGAGTGGATGTGGTGGGGGGGGACTTGAATGAGTGAAGGGAGGGGAAGCTGCAATTGGGATGCATTGTATGAATGAACAATAGAGAGAGAGATGATAGATAGATAGATAGATAGATAGATAGATAGATAGATAGATAGATAGATAGATGATAGATAGATAGATTGATAGAGGTAGGTAGATAGATAGATAGGTAAATAGATAGATAGGAAGGTAGATAGAGAGATAGATAGAGGTAGCTAGATAAATAGATAGGTAAATAGATAGAAAGATAGATAGATAGATAGATAGATAGATAGATAGATAGAAGATAGATAGATAGATAGATAGATAGATAGATAGATAGATAGATAGATAGATAGAATACCTACTGTATGAGTACCCCAATTTGGGTCTTTGAATTTGCTGTATCTCATTCCCATAGCCATGCAACACAGGACCATCTCTGAAGACTTTCAGTCAGTTTTCCTGCCCTAGATCAGCCTGAAGGAAGGTGCATAGCTGAGGACTGAGTCCAGGTTATCTGTCCTCCCACTTTGTTCTGTAAACTGGAGCTAAACCTCATGAACTGGAAGGAAAGATCCTGAATGTCCTGTCTTAGCCCTGTACCACACCCCAACACAATGTCTTCAACACAGTTTTAGATGGGGCAGAAACACTGTGGAACAGAGATCTTGAATCTTTCTCTATAAGTATGTGAAACAGATGAGATCATCATTAAAAGGAACTTAATGTCTTTGCCAGGGCTTCTCTAATTACACATGGAGAAACTAGAACCTCACAAGACAGAGGGTAGTGCATGTCAAACTCTCCAGACAAGAATGTACCAACCACATAACTAGCTTTATCCCTGCTGGACCCACCCTGCAACAGAGTTCTTGCTTAGACGTCTGCTTCAGATACAACAGGGATAAAGAGCTGTTTTTCATGGCCTGACACACTTGGAGGGTGAAACTCAGGGGAATTGACTCCTCCTCTCATTTTATGTGTTTGAACCTAGGACAGATCAACAGGACCACTCTTCATCAGGATGCAGCTAATGCAACCTAGCTTCTGAGCCTCTGTGTTTCTGGAGACCATGTTGGGGTCTCTGCTTCACACCTAGTAGCTTGGTCATCAGCCAAGCTGATAAAGGAATGTAGACTCATAGGGACAGACAGTCTGCACACACTCAGGGTGAAACAACTTCCCTAGACAAGAAAATATAAAACCTCTATAGGAATGGATTTTTGGACCCTAGGAGACTGTGGGAAATTTGTTGGGGGAATGATGTGTGGAAGCCTGCACTAACTATCTCATATCTTCTCAGTCTTATGTCTACACTGCAGCCTCTTCAGAACCTCCCAGCTTCCTACCTGGAATCTCCTAGGTTCCCAATAAGAGAGTGAGATGGTCATTGAGAAATCTCAGTTCATTTCTAAGTTTCTGCATAGGAGACCATTTTTTCATAACCCTCCTTTGGATGAACTTACTACTATCACAGACACAGGCTTCCTAATTCAATTATCCTGGGTAACCCTTGTAGCCCACAAAAGTCAGGATCACCTCACCTGAGAGTGTGACCTCAATGGGAACATTGGGATATGATAACAGGTAAGGGGTTGAGCTCTTAGAACCAAAGCATGTATAAGAAACCCCAAAGGGGCTGGAGAGATGGCTCAGCCGTTAAAGGCTAGGCTCACAACCAAAAATATAAGAGTTCGGTTCCCAGCACCCACAGCCGTCTCTCCAGCCATAAAAAAAAATAAAAAAGAACCCCCAAAGACAGAGGTCATGGCACTCATGGAGAATTCTGCCTTATATTGTAGCTCTTGAGGCATTGAACTTTGTGGCAGGTAGGAATGGCCAAACCTTCCTTGAACAGAAAGAATGTGTTTACTGGGACTGATGATTAACACAGTAAAGTCACATTCTCTCCTGAGGACACAGTAGTCCCTGGATGCACTGAGAGAACAGGTATAACAGGGAGGTATCCTAAAGATAAAAAAATAAGTGACTGAAGGGCTACAGTCATTGCTCTAAGCCACCCTCTTTCAGAACCTAGTCTCTATGTTGTAAAAAACAGTCCCTTCTCCACTCTCTTGCTCCTAGACCTGTTCATCCCTGACATGTTCATCCTCATCTTGATGATGAATCCCAGGTCTCCACCCAACTGACTTTGTGCCAAGGTGGGTCCATACTAAATGCACTACATTGCTCACCTGTGATCATGATGTCTAGAGGGTCACTGGGGGCTGACCACTCAGAGGAGAAGCTCTGTGCACCAAGGCATTTGTATTGACCACCAATGGAGAAATTCACAGAGCTTTAGGTGAAGCTGGCATGAAAATGACCAGCCTGGGGCTGATGAACACAAACTTGAGTGAGGTCACTTCTCCCCTCTTTGAAAGAGCAAATCTGTCACAACTTATCTCAGAGGAACACTTGAGTGTCAGGTTCTCTCCAGGGGCCAGGACAGGGACTTTTCGGGTCAACAAAGTGGGCTTCATTGACAGCCCTGGAAGGAAGAGCATCAGGAAGTCATCCACCTGGCTCTTGTTACATTCCATATCTCATCTTACTTTGAAAGTGCCATGGCCTTTTCTATTCTGGGCCTTAGGAATCAAGAGTTCCCTTCAGGCATCATGGCCTCAATCCCACCTTGAGGCAGCAGCACTAATGACAAAGAGTGTCTGGTGTCACTCATTGTGGGAATGTGGACTTTCTTACCTGAGACATGTATCTCCAGAGGGTCACTGGCCTTGGACCACACATGTGAGGTATTTGTATAGTTTCCATAACATCGAAAGGGCCCATGTGTGCTGGATGTCACAAGGATCAGAGGAAACAGAGCCTGGGACTGTCCAGTGTGTAATAAGTGTGCCTTTTGGGACCTGGAGAAATTCAGATCTGCACCAGTCAAAATGAACCCATCATATCCTTTGGATGAGACACACTGAAGGGTCACATTCCCACCTGAGGTCACCACAGGGCTGGGCAAAGCTGACAGAGTAGGTTTGCCATGGTAAACACCTAGGAGAGGAGCAGGCAGTCTGTCAAGTGAAACGCAGCCACTTCCAGCAGATGGGCTGTGGAAGCACACCTATGGAAGACTATTTCCTGTGGACAGAGGCAAAGATTGTGACAGTGTCCTCTCACCTGTCACCACCAGCTCCAGGGAGTCACTGTGCTCTGTCCACCCTGTAGATTCATAAGAGTAACAGCGATATTGCCCTGCATGATGCTTTTCCATGGACGCTATGGAGAACATGACCTTTTTACCAGGATCTTTTAGAGTTTGATGGAACCAGGGTGCTGAACTTCCTTCTTTATACAGGAAATATATTTTGGATTCCTTGGTCCCCTCACACCAGATGGTCACAGGATTCCCTATGCTGATGACAGAACCAGGCTCAGCCCAGAGGGTGGGTTTCTTGAGGTTTCCTTTAAGAAAGTAGGTGGGAAAGAGGTGGGACTTTGAGCAGTTTCACAGTAAGAGTCAAACATGCTACTGATCTTGAAATGTTCTCCTAAATAGCAAAAAGACCAGTAATGTCTTGGGAAGACTTAGTCTCATGAGCCTTCTAAGATCTCATCTCACTATGCTCTCTCCTCACTTTCTGTACACTGTCTCCCACAGTCTGTAGCACAAATCTTAAAAGGCCTTATTAATAAAAACAAACTTGGTGCCAGTTATTGGGGAGAATGCTAGAAGATCAGAGAAACAGAAGAAGCCACTGCCACCTCACCTTGCCAATTCCTCAACTGATCCTGTTTTCTCAGACTGGAAACATCCAAGTCCTCATGGCGAATGAATCTCAGCTGAAATGTTGCTCAAAAGCATAAAACTTAACCATGCTCTAGTTCCTCTTCCTCGTGTGTTAAATACCTTTTGGCTTCCTGCCATCACTTCCTGGGATTAAAGGCTCTTGTTACCACGCCTGGCTGTTTCCAGTGTGGCCTTGAACTCACAGAGATCCAGGCAATTATCTGCCTCTGGAATGCTAAGACTAAAGGTTGTGTGCTACAATTTTCTGGCCTCTATATATAGTGGCTGTTCTGTTCTCTGACCCCAGATAAGTTTATTAGGGTGTACAAGATTTTGGGGAACACAATATCACCACATTTCCTCTTTTTTGTCTCAAATTTAAAAAAAGCTTATAACTAATACATGAAAATATATCTAATAAGTATATACAATATACACAGTCAATAATTACATTCACAATGTCTAGTCCATTAACATTTGACAGACTCAGATGAAAAACTCTATTAATAGATAACAATTTCCAGTCCATTAACATTTGACAAATTCAGACAAAAAAATTTCATTACTTATCCTGTTTAAAACAAGTAGTTCCTTTTTAAAAGTAGATTCAATAATCTTCCTTTTATTTTATCATATCCAACAGTCTGCATGCTGTGTCAATTATCTCAGGAGCTCTGGATGCTCAGACATATCACACATTATGGTCTTTACAGGAAACCTGTGTCAGGTGCAACATGATTCCACAGAGAGTCTGAGGCTTCCTCACCTGAGACCAGCAGCTCGAGGGGCTCACTCCCTTCTGACCACACCTGAGGATTATTTATGTAATAGCCATAGCATCTGAACCTCCACCTCTGGCTAGAGGTCACTGGACCCACGGGAATCTCAGCCAGGAACATCCCAGTGTGTGTGTGTCTTGAGCTCTGAGGGATGGAGAAATTCTGACCATTCTTTGTTAAAATGAACCAGTCGAACCTCTGACTTGAGGTACAAGAGAGGATCACAGACCCTCCTAAATTTACAACAGGATTTTGTGTGGTTGACAGGGTGGGTTTGATGTAGACTCCTAGAAAAACACACATGGAAAATTAAAGAAGATCACAAAGCCTGAATTGCCCCCCATGGTTGTCCTTTGATGGGAGGTAGTGTTAGTGCAGTCTTTTCTTGAGAGTGACATCTGAGGTTAAGATTTCTGGTGTCTTCTCACCTGTCACCACCAGCTCTAAGGGGTCACTGCGCTGTGACCATCCTGCAGAGGTTTAGGTGTAACAGTGATACCAGCCTGCCTGCACTTGTGTCACAGATGGAATGGTGAGTTTTGCCTCAGTGCTGTTGTCTGTTTGAGTCTGTTGGTCCCAGGGCTCTTGGCTTCCCTCTTTATATATCACATAGGTTTGGGCTCCCAGGGTTGCCTGACACCAGATGGTAACAGGACTTTCTGAGGGGATCACAGAGCCAGGATGAGCCCATATGCAGGGTTTGTGAAGGGTCCCTGCAAAGAAGAAGAAAAAAAGGAGGAGCATCTGTTAGGAGAATATCACAGAGAAGGTCACCTTGGCAGGGACATGTGATCTGATATGTAATAGAAAAAGGACACATAAAGATCACACTTTTCTCTGGGACTTGGTTCTACTGTTACTATCAACCCTGGTTTCCACACCTCAAGTCTAGCTGTATCACATATATTATGACATTGGGTTCAGTAGTCTTGGCTCTCATTCACCCTCCACATACCAGGTCCTTTCCTGGGATCCTGTGTCAATTGCAATTATAGTCAAAGGGAAGTCCTGTACTGCCTTACCTGAGACCAGGAGTTCTAGGTGGTTACTGGGCACTGACCATGACTGGGGGGTGCTCAAGTAATACCCATAACATGTGAACCTCCACCTCTAGTTGGGGGTCACAGGACCCACTGTGAACAGGGCTCCAAATAGCTCAGGGTGTATATTCTGTGAGGGCAAAACTGGGGAGAACTTCTCATCTTCCTTCATCAGAATGAACCTGGCATATGGATGATATGACACACAATGAAGTGTCACATTTCCTCCTCCAGTCACCACTGGGCTGGGAAGGGCTGACAGGGTCACACTGCTCTGGTGAGTGCCTGTGAGAGAAGAGGGCAAGAAACATACATGGATGTGTAGTGTGTTTAAACAGACATTCAGATCAACTCAACATAATGAAAGTTCCCAAAACCACCTCCTGACAACTAACTGACCACAGACAAAGGCCTCTATTTATTAATTTCAGTAATGTTTGCCATATCCTCATATGAACATATGACCCATATGAGAAGCATTTTCACCTCTTCACATATTTAAAAGGAGACCCTACTGTGAACATATTCCTTTCCTCAAGGCAGATGCTAGAGTTGTATGGGGTCCTCTCACCTGTCACCACCAGCTCCAGGTAGTCACTATGTTCTGTTTTGCCATTGGGGCTTTTATATTCACACCAATATTGGCCTGCATTGTTCCACTCAATTGATGAGATAGAGAATTTGGCCAAGTTCTCAGTTTCTATAAGGGTTGTTGGTAACAAGCAATCCCAACTTTCATCTTTGCAGAGACGGTATTCCTTGGCCTCTAAGGGCCCTTGACAGAAGAATGTCACTTGGTTTCCAGTTGTTACAACATTTCGTGGAAGTGCTTGGAGTATAGGTTTAGAGAGGACCCCTGCAAGAAAAATGACAGTTGGTTCCCCAAACTCCCTCTCAGATATGAGCTCTCAGACCTAGGACATTCTCAGGCATTCCCAGCATCAGCCCACACCTGTTTTTCTCCATCTTCTCTGTTCAGGAGTTAACTGTGGTCCCCACAAATGATGTTCAATCTGGGACAGCTGTGAAGACACACACCTGCCAATGCCGGGATCCAGAGGACCAGATGACTCAGTGCTGCAAAAGAGATACCTGTGTTTGCACTGAAATATCAGAAAGCCCTCAACTTCCAGACATCTAAGCTGCTGAGATTTCCTGATGGCACAAGGCATGGCTGTGGGGTGGATTCCCTCTCAGACAAGAATTCTCCCTCTCCATCTTGGCATCTCACCTACACACTGCATGGCTGACAGAAACGTTTTCATGGCATCTCCCAATTGACACAAGTTTGCAGATAGTTAGTCCCTTTGCCAAAAGGAAATAAACAAAGTGTATGGGCTATGAAGGCTGTCTTCTCCTTCATGTCATGAAGATGTAAAAAGAGTATCCCTTGAGGAAGAGGAACCTCTCTTCTCAGACACATGATGCTTCTTTTACCAGTGCTGTGGTGGGTTGGGCTACAGATTATGTGGCTTCTGCCTCTTTCTGGTCCTTTAATTTTTGTGTTGGTTTCTGAGACAGAATCTCTTGAATCTCATGCAGTTTTCAGTATTCTTCCTCTTATCACTCAGCTTCATGTGGACTGGGAT